GGTTCTGTCACATCCTTGGGAGCTGGGGGTTTGGGTTCATGCCAGTTGGTGACCAGCTCTTCTCAGAAGTGGGCTGGAGGCTGAGGTGTGTGGGTTTAGCCCCTGCACTAGGGCTCAGGCTTGGGGCCCGGGGGGGGGGGAGGGGCGCTAGCCCCTGGGGGCCTACCTCTGTCTGGGCAGGCTTGGGTCAGCACTCGTAATCCCTTCTTCAATACCGGGTCCCTCCCATCTCCGCAGTTGACAAGTACATTGCGATGGCCAAGGAGAAGCATGGCTACAACATTGAGCAGGTGAGCTTTGGCCCCGTAGGGATTTGGGACGGGGACAGGACAGTGCTGGGGGCAGCTGAGCCCGAGTTGTCCCCTCTCTCGGGCCAGGCACTGGGCATGCTCTTGTGGCACAAGCACGATGTGGAGAAGTCCCTGGCCGACTTGGCCAACTTCACCCCGTTCCCCGATGAGTGGACCGTGGAGGACAAGGTGCTGTTCGAACAGGCTTTTGGCTTCCATGGCAAATGCTTCCAGCGGATCCAGCAGATGGTAAAGCCCCTTCACCCCTGCCAGTGCTCCTTAGTCCCTCCTGTTCTGATGAGCCGGCCTGGGGACGGAGGGTCTTGGGTGGGCCCCAGCCTCTGGCATTGCCCTTCCAGCTGCCTGATAAGCTGATCCCCAGCCTGGTAAAGTATTACTACTCATGGAAGAAGACCCGCAGCCGAACCAGCGTGATGGACAGACAGGCTCGGCGGCTGGGGGGCCGAAAGGACAAAGAAGACAGGTAGGGGCCTTGGGGGCCCAGGGGCAGGGCACGCTGAGCTCTGGGAGGCCCTGGCCTCTGCCTCACTGCCTTCCTGGCCTCTGTGTCAACAGCGATGAGCTTGAAGAGGGCCGGGGAGCTGTGAGTGAGGGAGAGCCGGATGCTGGAGACCCGAAGAGAGAGGTGAGGTCTGGCCCTGCCTACCCGCCTGCCCTGGCCCTGGGCTCCGCACCACCCACCCCTCTCCTTTCCCTGGCAGCCTCTGCCCTCTCGGCCCCTGAATACCCGGCCAGGCCCCGGGAAGAAGGAGGCCCAGGGGTCTCAGTACCGCCACCACCCACTGCGAACCCGGCGTCGCCCACCCAAGGGCATGTACCTGAGCCCTGAGGGCCTCACGGCTGTGTCAGGAAGCCCAGACCTTGCCAACCTCACGCTTCGAGGCCTTGACTCTCAGCTCATCTCCCTCAAGCGCCAGGTGGGGGCCTGAGAAAAGAAGGGACCGTGTGGGAGGGGGCAGCGGGCAGCCCAGGAACTACATTTTGGGGACAACCGAGGTGTAAGGGGAGTGGTGCAGGTGCCCAGACTGCCTCTGCCCCATCCTCTAGGCTTCTGGGTAACTAGGTCTTTTCAAGAAACCTGTCTGGTCTGCGAGAGGGGGAGAAGCCCAGTTGGGAGGGAGGAGTGAGCTGGATGGTGGGTGGCCACAAGCCGTGTTGGTGGCGAGGGTTGGTCTGGGTGGCCTCTCTGGCAGGAGGGTTTGATGGGTCGTTTCTCGGCCTTTTCAGGTGCAAAGCATGAAGCAGACCAATAGCAGCCTCCGCCAAGCGCTAGAGGGGGGCATCGATCCACTGCGTCCCCCTGAGGTAAGGTGGCTTCAGGTGTGGGTGCAGGAGGGGCTTTCCCCCTCCCCGCCGGCCAGGGGAGCCGAAAGGGGAGTTCTGCTTGGGGGTGGGGGCAGGGCCCTCCGTTTCCGAATTTTTGAGTCTAAAAGGATAAATCCTCTGCTCTCCAGGCCAACACCAAGTTCAACTCCCGCTGGACCACGGATGAGCAGCTTTTGGCTGTACAAGGTGGGTTAGACGGCGGGGGAGCATGGAGAGCCCCAGGAATCTTTCCCCACCCTCCAAGGAGCTGGGGCAGAAGGGAAGGGCCAGGGAAGGAACTAGTTCTAAGGGGTATTCACACTTTGCTGCCCTTTTGACCCTTGCAGCCATCCGTAGGTATGGCAAAGACTTTGGGGCTATTGCAGAGGTGATTGGGAACAAGACTCTGACCCAGGTGAAGACCTTCTTTGTGAGCTACCGGCGCCGCTTCAATCTGGAGGAGGTGCTGCAGGAATGGGAGGCCGAGCAGGATGGGGCCCCCGGAGCCCCAGTCCCCATGGAGGAGGCCAGGAGAGGGGCCGCCTTGCCAGCCCCGGCCCTAGAGGAAGACGATGAGGTGAGAAGGGGTGAGAGAAGCCCTTCAGAGGAGTGAGGAGCTGAGCCGCCTCCATTCTTCGGTCGGGGCGCGGATGTGCTTGAGCCTGGTTTCCCTCTTCTCTCCTGTCAGGTGCAGATCACCTCCGTCTCGACATCTGTGCCCCGATCGCTACCCCCTGTGCCACCGCCGCCTCCGCCTCCCACGTCGCTGTCCCAGCCACCCCCGCTGCTGAGGCCACCTCTGCCCACGGCGCCCACCCTGCTCCGCCAGCCGCCCCCGCTCCAGCAGGGCCGCTTCCTCCAGCCCCGGCTGGCCCCCAACCAGCCCCCGCCACCTCTCATCCGCCCTGCTCTGGCTGCCTCCCGCCACAGTGCCCGCCCTGGCCCTCAGCCCCCACCCACCCTGATTGGAGCCCCTCTGGAGCCTCCAGCACCCTCACTCTGAGCCCTGAGGCCCTCCACCAACCGGAGGCTCCAGAACCACGTTGCTGGCCGTCCTTGGATACCTCTGGCTTCACTGAGGACAGAAGGGACTAGAGCTCTTGGCCAGGTCTTTCAAAAACCCGGAGCTGCCAGTGGGCACAGTCTGGACCTATGGGTTCTGCACGTTTCTGGCAGCTGAGTCTCTCGGCCCCCACCCCAGCCAGGGGCTGGGGCTCAGGGGCCTTCTGAGCTGACCTGAGGGTCCTTTCTCTTCCTGGCTGGGGCTGGAATGGCTGCCTCCTAGTCTGCTGGGGCTTGGCCTTTGGGTCTGGCCCTTTGTGTAGAGGGGGTAGTGACCTTAGCTTGGGGGATGGGGGAGAGGACAGCCTTGGCTGTTCTTTCTCTTTCCTTTCTTTTAGCAATAAGTTGGGGTGTGGTGGGGAGGGGGCTGGAGGGGGGAGGTGGGCAGAGAGGTTCCTTCGGGGCCTGAGTGTGGCAGAACTGGATGGGCAGCTCCCCTGTCTTCTGGAGCCTGCTGTGAAGTGCTGAGGAGCTCTGGGGGTGCCCACTGTACCCACGGCCCGAAAGCTTAGAGAAAGGAGGGCTGGGAACATATGCAGACATGGGTTTATTTTTCAATGTTTTTAAAAAATAAATAAAATCTTCCACGTTCGCTGAGTGCTCTCTTTTGGTGTGGAGGGCCCTGGGCTTGGCTTCCTGTCTGTGCCCTGAGGATGGGAGGGAGCAGCCACCCAGTACTGGCCTCCCCCAGGCCCCAGACAGGAATCCATTCTCTCCTGCAAGGCTGGCGGGCTGAGCCACATCTTGCCCACGGGGGACTGGGTCCCTGCCCGGCTGGGAGAAGAAACAGGAGGAGGCAGCTCAGATTCCAAACATTCTCTTTATTACGTGTTTGATCCAGAGGAGAAACTAAGTGCGGGTGTGGGGGGGAGTGGGGTGGGTGGGGAGGGGCCACCTTGCCTGGGAGCCCCCCCAAGGGCCACCACCCCCTCTGGGAGCCAAGCCATGCCCTCCCGGCCCCTCAGAGCACCCGGGCTGTTCCACTGGGCAGGAGGGGTGGGGAGGGAGGAGGAGAGAAAGGGAGGGAGGAAGAGCCCTTGGTCAGAGCCTGAGCCCAGAGCCTGGAGCCCCTGGAGCCCCACAGTTGGGGCTTGGGGCAGGAGGGCTGAGGTTGGCTAGGCCCCTTCCTGGGACCCAAGGGATCGACTTGCCGCGGAGCCTGGGCTGGGAGTGGGGGGTGATGAGTAGGGGTGGAGTCATCATAAATCAAAAAAAAAAAAAATAAAATAATAAAATAAAAAATAAACCCATCACAAAAAAATGTACAACTCGGGTGAGGGCAGGGGCAGCCTCTGTGCAGGACCCCCCTCCCCCAATTTCTCAGGAACAGAAACAGCAGAGAAATAAATTAAGGGATGCAGCGGCCGCCACCAGCCAAGCGCCCATAACCAGCCACTCCCACACTGGCCGAGGAGGTTAGCAAGCTGGGAGTCACTAGGCCTGTCTGTCCCCCCACCCCCGGGGAGGGCAGATGCTCCCGGCCCCCTGCTGCCCTATCCAGCCTCCCGCCAGGCGGCCCGTGGAGGCCCTGGGCAGTGTCTCCTGAGAGGAGGGGCGACAGTGTCAGAAGAAAAGGCAAGGCCGGGAGATGGGTGGTGAGGGGAGTCACTGCTATGGAACTAGCTGGTGCCCAGATTAATGCCAATGAAGGGGGCAGGGGAGAGGAATGGCGAGGGGCTGTGCTTTCAGACAAAGGCTCTCCCATAACGGAGAGTGCCCAGCATCCCTGTTCCGGAGACTAGCAGCCCAGGCGGCCCCCTGGGGGCCGAGGAGCCTATCTGCCCTGCAGTCCCCTCCCCTCACCCAGCCCGGGGGTCAGCCCCGCCTTCTCCCCAGGAGGGGTGGGAGAAGATGGCACAGACTTTTGAGGAGGGGAACAAAAGTCCCCACAGCAGCTTGTGGAAGGAAATGCCCAGCTCTGGGGAAGGAGGGGCAGAGGATACAGTGTGGAGGGGGCCAGAGCCCCCCGAGCCTTGCCTGCCAGCCCGGGGCAGCCGCCAGCGCCCCCCCCTTTCCCCCCACCCCCCACCCAGGGCTACGCAGCGCCCCGCCCCCAGCCCCTGGCCCGGCCATCCAGGCCTCCGGCCCCGGGGCCTGAGGTCAGGGCAAGGCCACCTCTGGTGGTTTGCTTGGAGGGGAAGGAGGGAAGGAGAGGGGAGAAGCCCAAAGTGGGCCTGGCGGAGGGCCTGACAGGGAACTCCACCACTCTTGCCTGAGAGTGTTCCAGCCCTGAGCCACCCTCCCGGGAAACCCCACAGATCCAGTCTCGACTGTCCCAATGGGGCAGGGAGGAAAGGTGGCCGCTGGGATTTTTTTTTTTTCTTTTTTCTTTTTGGTAATAAAAAATTTCTTGGTTTAGGCGAAATACTCTGTGCAACCGCAGTACCGAGGGGGAGCCCTGCCCCCCCACCCCTCCCTCCCCTTCCTTTGCCTCCTGTAGGGGAGAGGGGGGAAGGGGGACTTTCTGGGCAGGGGCAAATGTCGGGGGGGGAGAACCATCTCCTGTCCCCCCCAAACTTGGAAGAAAAAAACCGAGAAGGGCGGGAGGGGAGAAGTGCCAGCAGGGGGAGACACACCAATCCATCTCCGCAGTCTCGCCCAGGTGGCTTGGAGCCCGGCCCCAGCAGCTAAGTCCAGCTGGCCCGCCTCCGTCGCCCCCCCCCCCCCCCCACTCCTGGCAGCCTGTTAAAGCTTGAGCTCGTTGGCTATTTTGGAGGCAATGTTTTTGAAGGCCATGGAGGTGCCCGATATCCGCTTAAATCGGACACCGTTGAGGGACAGCCGCGGCAGCTTGCACACCTCCATCTCCCACTGCACGAAGTTCTCGTGGCCCGGCGTGCCGTGCATGCACAGCAGCATGTACTTCTCGTGTAGCTCGCTCTGGCAGCTGTTCGCGTCCAGCACCTTGCGGATCTCCCGCATCATCTCGTTGGGCTCCATGGAGCTGGTGGTCTTCATACTCCACGTGAAGCGCAGGGAGCGCGGCTTGGCCTCCCGGAACTCCTCCTTGTCCTTGTCGTTGCCTCCACCGCCCACCACGTGAGGTCTGCGGAGAGGGCAGAGTCCGGGGGTGGGGTGGGAGGGGGGGTGTATGTCAGGGCGGGGCCCGGGGCACCCCACCCCCGGGAGAGCCACCCTGGCAGAGGGCGCCCCCTGAGACCAGGGAGGAGAGCGGGAGGGTGCCCCGGAGGCGACAGTGCTGGAGGAGGGCGCAGAGGGAGGGTGACAGGGGCGGGCAGCTGTGTGACCTCCGGCTCAGGGAGGGCAGAGAAGGGGAGGAGAAGCCAGGCCCTGGCAGGGGGCGGGAGGGTGACAGTTCCATGCTTTTCCTTGATGAGAGGAGGGTCAGGGAGAAAAGGGGAGCACGTGCTCAACAGCCCTGAGCAGTTCACAGACTGGACGGAAAGCAGCGGCTGAGGTACAGAAAGGTGAGCTGGGTGGTGGGTAGGAATCTGTAGCCCCAACCGCCCAGCCTAGGGCTCCTGCTTCCAGAAGGCACCAGAGCTGAGGAGAAGGGCCCACACCTACTGCAGCTGGGGCGTGGGGCTTCTCTGAGGAAAGGGAGGCCCCGAGAGGGTGGGACAGGGCAGAACCACCGGAGGAGGAGCCAGGTGGCAGAAGGAAGACAGCAGGAGGCTCGTGGCAAGCCCGGTGGCCTGGGCAGGGCTGGTGCTGGCTCCAGCCCTCTCACCTGAGCGTCTCCACTCGGTCTTTGCTTTCAGGTTCATTCAGGTTCCTCAAAAAACAGAGCGAGGGAGAGTTTAGTGCTGGGACCTCTCGCTCTGTCCACCGCCACAGACCCAGGTGAGGGTGGGTCTGGTCAGGTGCCACTGGTGGGTGAGCAGGACCCAAGCTCTAAGGCCCCATGCCCGCCACCTGGCAGGCCAACATGGCTCTGCGGCGCCTCGCACTGGCCCTTCGCAGCGGGGAGCCCAGCACACGGGGCCGTCCCTCGCCAAGCTCCCTGAGATGTGTGCGGGGGAGAAGGAGCCTCTGCTCGGGGGTGGGGGGGGTGGTGGGTGGGTGTGGATGTGCAGGCACGCGCATCGAGCACACAGCCACAGCATGAGGCAGCTCCCCCACCAGCCCCCAGCCAGGGCCTCACACTGTGAACGGGTCTTCCACACCAGTATCCCAGGGCCCCAGAGCCACAGTCCTCTTGAAGGGAAAGGGCTAGGCTGGGGGGCGCGGTGTGTGTGTGTGGGGGGGGGCGGGGCAGAGAGAAGCCTCTCTCAGGAGGCTCAAAGGGCCAAGAGCTGGAACCGTGAGCAGGCCTGGGGATGAGTGCCTGGAGATGGGGAGGAGGAGAAGGGGCCTGAGGCCATCCATGGACAAGCCCACCTCCCCCATTCTTTTTAGAACGCCCCTGCCTGCCAGGCTGCCAGGCCATCTGCTTGTACAGAAGGGAGGACAGAGGGCAGGGCAGGGCCAGCACCTTGGGAGGGTGGGTGGGGAAGAGGTCTGGCCCCGCTGAGCGGCTTCTCCAGCTCCTGGCCGGAAGATGGGTGCCTGGAGCCGGGGAACTGGGGACTGCAGAGGAGGGCAGGGACGTGAGGAGGACAGAGAGCGGCAGCAGCACATGGAAAGGAACACGAAGACACAAGAGACACACGAGTGCACAGAAGCGCACTGCAAGCAGGGAGCCCGGGCTGTGCGGTCGGGGGGGGGGCCTGCTGCTCTCCCCAGCCCCACCTGGTCCCTGCCCTGTGGGTGGAGGCGCCCTGTCGGGCAGGCCCCCACCAGGGCCTGGGAGTCAACAGCCAGCCATGCAGTGAAGAGCTGGGTGGGGAGCAGTGGGTGGAAAGGGGAAAGCCTAAGGACCCTGGCTTGGCCATTAGTCAGGTGGGTCACCAACGGGCCCGCCAGGTGTCCCAGCCCCAGCACAGGGCCTGGGCTGACAGCCCTGGGGAACCAGTGCTCCCAACCCGGCCCTTGGTCTTCAGCTTGGTATATGGCCCTCGCAGGCTTCCAGAGAGGATGAGGATAGGGCTTGGGGTGGGTCTGGCCTAGGAAGGAAGATGCCTGAGTGCGTGTGTGTGTGTGTGTGTGTGTGTGTGGGGGGGAATCTTCCACTGTTCTGCCAGGGCAGAGAAGTTGATGGCCCCGGCCTTAGAACATCCCGGCCCCTCGCCCTTTGGAAGCCACAGTCCCTATCCAGAGAACAGGGGCCCAGAGAAGAAGTGTGGCTTAATTCGTCCGTATCCCGCTGCAGGCGGGAGGTGTGCTGGGTGGAGGTGGAGTGGGCCTAGTTCTGCAGGAGCTGCCAGAAGGGGGTGCTGTGCCCACTTGTGAGGCAAAGGCTCCTTGGGCCTGGAAGCGTCAGACTGAAGCCTTGGGACCCCATTGTCCCTGTGGTACCTCCGAAGTCCTGCTATCCACAGGACAGGGGCAAGAGGCCACACGGCCCTGAAGTTCAGGGGACCAGAGAAGGGAAAGACCCAGAGACCCAGAATGAGATCCCATCCCAGATGCACTTGCAACCCTCATGGAGCTTCTTCACAGCGCATGCACAGACAGGGGAAAGGGCCAGGGAAGGAACCCAGTGCTTGCAACCAAAACCCAAACCTGGGGTGGGGGTGAGGAGACAATCTTAAAGGGAGAATTCCCTGAGAAGGTCCCCCGTGCCTGGGGACAGGCCCCTCATTTTCAAAGCCATCTGCCCTGAGTGGGCCCCCAGTCAGAGGCAGTCTTCATCCCTTTAAGATGGCAGAGGGGCCACACAGACGTGGTTAGCAGATGGAGGCGGTAGCAAGAGCCAGAAAAGGGGAGTTAATGACGGAGGCAGGACACAGGACACAGACACACACACACACACACACACACACACACACACACACACACAGCGGGCTGAACGCCTACCTTCTGGCAAACCTGAAAGACAGATTTCTAAAAAAACAAACAAAAAAAGACAAAATAAAAAAAGAAATAAAAAAAAAACCAACAAGACAGTATGTGGATAAGCAGGTGGGGAGTGGGCTTTACAGGTTCAATGGTCACCCCATGTGTGGAAGAGCCGCTCAGCGAGACTAGAGTCCTAGACATCCTGACCTGCCCCCGCCCCGCCCCACAGCCCCGCACTCTGGGGCTGGAAAGGGGCATGGCTCTCGGCTACTCCAGCTGAGTGAAGTGCAGCAGGAAGGGCGGCAGGCCTGCTGCTGCTTCCCGAGCTACGCCGAAGCGGGAGAGGAAACGGTGGTATGGAGACACGGAGCATCCCACCAGGCATGATGGCTTGGGTGCACCCTAAGAATCAAAGCTGTCTCTTTGGAGTGGCTGGGGGCCAGGTGTGAGAAACCTCATGAAGAGAATCCCCACCCTGCTTGCCACCTCAGAAAGCATCAACCCACTAGGCTGCGAGGGAAGAGGCCAGCCCGCCCCCCCCCGCCCCCCGCTACTTCATCTGTGGCCTTCATCAAGGCAAGCCCCGGCTAGGAGCACGCGGCTGAGGCCAAGGGAGCGACTGCAGCCAGACCTAACCAACTGGGTGGGGGGAAAGGAGGTCAAAGGGGGCGAGACAGAGGACTAGGAAAAACTCTCCCTGCCGGCCCAGCCTGGCTCAGGCCTCATGACTTTGCAGCTGCGTCACCAAATATAAGTTTCCATGGGAACCCAGGAAAGAAGAGGGGGGCTTTTATTTTAGCATCTGAGTTCACACTCTCCTAGAGAGGAGGCGGCATTGGCCATCTGCTCTCGGGGCCAGAGAACGAGGGCTGTGTACAGGAGCTGGGAAGAGCCTGGGAGGGACAGACGGGTCTGGGATCGTGAGGTGCTGATAAGGACCCAATTCCTTAGGCTTCCCAAGGCCTCTTCTAACCCCAAGACCCAAGCCTAGTGCCGGCAGTCCTCATTCCCCACCCCCACCCAGGCAGGGAGGAAGGCCTGGCCTCATTCTCTCTGCCACCCTAAGCCCCCTACTCACCTGCGTACAAACTTGGAAGTGAATTTGCTGAAGATGCTCCCCGAGGCCCCCCGCCGGCCCTGGCTGTTGCCAGAGGGAGAGGCTGGGGTCACACCGTAGGGCAAATTCTGCTGGTCCCGCACCTGCCGGAGCTGTCCAGCGTGGAAGGTGCTTCGACTGGACACACCCCGGGGGAAATTAGTTCGGTCTGGGGCTCCACCACTGCTGCTGATGTTGTGGGCGGAGGGGGAGGCGACAGGGACACGCTGGGGGGCTGTGCTGTGGGAAAGAGGTGGGGGCGGAGGAAATGCATCAGGGCATAAGCACGCCATCAGCACCGAGCACCTGCAGCACCCCAGGGTGGGAAGAGGGAAGGGGGATGCTAGGGCAGAGGCAGCCATCACAGAGGACACAGAAGGAAGGGGTGTGACCACTGAGGACACGGGAAAGGAGAACATCTAGGTGGAGGTGGAAGGAGATGGTTTGGGGGAGGGAGGGAGGCGAGGGAGGATACGTGTGTGGACAGCAGTACAGGCCGGAGAGAAGTGGCTCCTTGGAGCTAGGCACACTGGAACCTCAAGGGGACAATGTTGACCAACCCTCAAGGATTGAGTCCCTTTGGTGCTGACTGTCCCTGGGGTCCTAAGGAAGTCCAGGAAGGCTCAGAACAAAAAGGCTTCCTTCTGGAGCCTCGGGATGGCTTCTGAGAGGGAGAACTGGAGGAAAAGAGGGGCATTAAGCTATTTTTTTGTTCTCTCTACTTCCTGACTGTAGGGGACAGAGCCATTTCTTGTGGCTAAGATGCCAAGAACAGAGCAGGACCCCCGGGTGTGGGGGGGGAACGTGGGGGGCAGGGGGTGGGGCAGGCTGAGGGCACCCGGTGCGCCAGCTGCCCCAGCACACTTGCCTGGGCCGCGGCACCTCACAGTTACTGTCCGTGGGGGGCAGCCCAGTGGCCTTGTTGGGGTGCACGGAGGCCGACATGGATTTCTGGTGCTGACGGGGCCGGGCCGCAGAGACCGCGGCGGAAGCAGAAGCCGTGGAGGCCCGGGACCCTGGCATGGTTAGGCTAGGAGACAAAAGCAGCGAAGAGGCCTGGGTTAGGGGTGAGTGGGGGCAGGAGGCTCAGGTTAGGAAGCAAGGGCAGGGCAGAAGGGCCAGAGCCGGGGGGGGGGGCGGTGCGGGGCAGGGGAAGCCTTGGCAGGATGCAGTTCAGGTCGGGGGAGCAGCGATGGGACTCCAGTCAGAGTCGAGGAAGGCGGGGCTGGGAAATGGAGGGCGGGTGAGGAAAGTGAGGCAGGCCAAAACCTGGGGGAGGAAACCAAAAGTGCAGGAAAGCCAACAGGAGGTAACTGCCTCCGGGTTGCGCTGGTCTCCTAGGAATTCTAAGAACAAGGATGTTTTGTCGACAGAAAGAGCAGGGTGTTGCTAAGGGGAACTTTCATTAAGCTCAGAAGAGGAGGAGCCGGGAAGGCAACACACCAAGAGATGCTGGTGATCAAGGCTAAGGGGGATCTGTTCTCCCAGGAACAGCTGGGGTCACCCTCAACACGTACACCCCTCCGGTGGGCAGCCCTGGGCTCTGCTCTGAGCTGGGGTCCCCCAAACAAAGCCTCAGGCGCTGATGCCGAGAGGAGCATGGTTGCCGTGCCCTGGCTGCAGTCAAGAAGCAAGAAGGCAGGGGCGCCGGGCTGGCTCAGTCAGAAGAGGTGTGACTCTTGATCTCGGGGTCGTGAGTTTGAGCCCCACAATGGGCGTGGACATTGCTTAAATAAATAAATAACTAAAAAAAAAAAGAAGCAGCAGCCAGAAGGCAGCCAAGATGACCCTGGAGTCTCCCTCGGTCCGCCCACTGCAAGGAGCAGTCCCAGGAGCACAGGGGAGAGGAGACTGGGGGTGGGGGTGGGGGGGAGAGCAGGGGGGAGGTGCTGGTGTGTGGACAAGCTGGACTGGACAGAGCCAGGACGGAACTCCAGGGAGCAAGGAGGGGAGGTGGGGCTGCCGACAGACGTCACTGCTGTGACAGATGGTTCTGGGGCAGCGTGGTGGGCAGGGCCTGGGTCGGCTCACCTGTCTTTGCCGTTTTGGATGGAGGGCTGGCCAAGGCTGGCCCTCTCCAAAAGTGGGGAATTCCTGCTTCGATTTGTGCTGGTGGAGAGGACGCTGTTCTGTGGGGAATAAAGGGCAGAGGTGTATCACAGAAAACCAAAGAGTTCTTCTGTTCACAGAACTGGCTTTTCCTCCGCCTTCCAGCAGGAGCAGACAGGGGTAGAGAAAAGAAAGGATTCTGCTTTTCCTCTTGGGGGGGAGGCTTTCTACAGTAAGCCAAAGTGGCCCGGGAGGTAAGATACAGCGGGCGGTGGGTGGCCAGAGGGAGCTGCCTGGAGGGGGCTGGCCCCACTGCAGGAGGGGAGCTGGGTGGTGGTGAAGCAGGAGTGGGGCTGCCTGGTGGGGGACCCAGAGGGATGCTCACCGTGGAGGGGGTGGGGGTGGTCTTCTTCCTCTCCAGGCCGGGCAGGGGGCTGGCAGGCACTTTGGCTGTGCTGCTGGCCTTCCGCCCTGACTCCCGGTCCTCCTCAGGCCGCTTATTCTCTGCGTTGTTACTCTGCGTCTTCTTAGAGTAGGAATTAGACGTGGGAATGGCAGGACCAGCTGCTGGGCCAGAGGGATAGTGGGAATGGGTACGGGTGAGGGGCCCACCGAGTGCCTGACTGACACACACACACACACACACACGCACACACACAGTGCTTTCCTACAGTCTTGCCAGCAACTTGGCAAACCCCATGTCACAGAGGGTGAAGGAAGGGAAGTGGCTTGGCCTAAGACTAATAAGTGACTGAACTGGGACTGAAACTCGGCAGTGTCATCCCAAGCCCCCAGAACCTGTGTCCTTTCAGGAGAGGGGTGAGTCCCCACCTGCAACCCCCACCCCCTAAGCACTCACCCTGGTCACTGAAGCGCCGCTGCTTGGGGTTGGCTGAGACACTGCGCTGTACCTTGTGGGAGGGGGAAGGGGCACTGCTATTGGTCAGATCAGCTGAAGGCCGGGGCTTCAAGGTGATGGTGTCACCCTCCAACTGCAAGCAGAGAAAAACGGGGGCAGAAGTCATTGGAGATGCGTACAGATGGACCCATGTAATTACACACAGTCCCGCCTGACAGGAAGCCACCCCAGACTCACATGAGACATACTCCTGCAGGGTCCAGGTGTACCTAAACACTCTTGAGACACATATGCCCCAGCACAGATCCTGACAGAGCCAAAGACACCCCCTGCCCCGGCCCCCAGCACACCAAAGACACCCTGCCCCCAGAGAGGGATATACATGCCCCGAAGAACACACATTCATACTCAGAGACCACACACTCCTGCCCCCAACTAGATACTTCCTGAGCAGGCTAAGGTGAGAACCGAGAGAGGGAGCCCAACACTACCAGGGGGAGAGCAGGGAGGCCAGGAGTGCATGTAGGGACATGCAGATGGTGAGCAAGACCCCACTCCCACACAAACCCACGGACTCACACACAGACATGGTTACCCAGACGGGGAGAAGAACAAACACAAGAACTCCAGATGAATAGACAGGAGGATGGACATACACACACACAGATACCCACAGCCAGACATAAGCACTAGGCAGAAACAACACAAAGACTCAAGACTCCTACTAGAAAGGCACAGAGACCTACACACCCAAACACCCAGAGATGGACACTTCCAGATGCAGAGAGGGACACAAACACATGGAAACAGACATAAAGATTTCTAGATCAACAAAGAACTGATCCTGGGGCGCCTGGGTGGCTCAGTCGGTTAGTGTCTGCCTTCAGCTCAGGTCATGATCGTAGGGTCCTGGGACTGAGCCCCATGTCTGGCTCCCTGCTCAGCGGGGAAGTCTGCTTCTCCCTTTCCCTCGGCCCCTCTCTCCCCACACTCATGCTCTCTCTCTCAAATAAAATCTTTAAAAACAAAATAAAACCAAAAAAAGACAAAGAAATGATCCAGTCTTATCAACATAGAAGGGGCCAGAGCTACTCACCCACATGGAAACTCAGGCCCAGGCCTAGACCCCACTAGCTTTCCTATCCATTCCATGAAGGAGACCAGTGAAAGCAAAGGCCAGAGAGCCTTACCCACCAGCGCTGAGGCTTAAAATTTGTCAGCAAAGAGCACACCTACTCAGAGAGGAGCTTCTGCCCTCAACGGGTACCAGAAGCACGGGGGTGCTAGTGACAGCAGAGCTGGCCGGCAGGGGACAGAGCAGGGGGCACACACCTCAGAGCTCTTGTAGCCCAGGAGCAGATAGGTGGCCATCACCTCGTTGTACCTCTGGCCCACCAGTGAGTCCTGGATCTCTTCCCGTGTGTAACCCATGGACACCATCAATTCTGCACAGGGGGGACATACAGTTAAGGCTGGTCCTGAGTCCTAGGGAGTTCAAGCTCATAACTCAGCAGAGCCTCACCTGTCCGCCGGGGGTCCTTGTAGTCAGGGAGTGGCTCCACATAAGGCTTTAATTCATCATCTTCATGACCCACATTCATCCATCGATCTTTCATGATTTGCTGGGGAGCAAAAGGAAGGGTATGGGCAGGGAGGAAGGAGACTCAGCTTGGAGGTGTCCCTGGGAACCCTGGACTTTCCAGCCAGCCGGGCTCCAGGCTGCTCACCTCTAAAGTGCCTCTCTTGCTGGGGTTGAGAATGAGAAATTTCTTAAGCAGGTTTTCACAGTCCGTGGACATGTAGAACGGAATGCGGTATTTTCCCCTCAGTACCCGTTCCCGTAGCTCCTGAGGTAGGAGGCAAATTTATTTTATTATTATTATTTTTTTAAGTAAGCTCTACGCCCAACGTGGGGCCTGAACTCACGACCCCGAGGTCAAGAGTCGCCTGCTCTACCAACTGAGCCAGCCAGGTGCCCCAGTAAGAGGGAAATTTAAATCACCCCAAGGCCCAGGGAAGAAACCTAATAAAAAACCTTTAGCTCCTAAGAGCTAAAGACTGACCAGGCAGACATACATGAAACATGGCAGGAGGCAGACAGCCTGAGACAAGGCACCCCACTAGAGAGGCACTGAGGTCAATACCCTGTGTCCATTAGCTTGAGCAGCCCGAGGCCTGCCATCCCAAGCACCTTGGAGGGGTGAACGGACATACAATCTATCCCATCCCTTGAGGAAAGAATGGAGGTCATTACACTGGGCACAGAAGACCCCGTGTCTGCTGCTACCCTTAGCAAGCCTGTCTCTGAATCTCTGGCTTGGGGAAAATGTAGAGGCGGCAAGCGTGAGAGAGGTCAGGGGTAAGACCAGAGGCCGAGAGTGGAAAGGAGAGACAATAAAAATGATCTAAGCCTCGGGCGCCTGGCTGCCTCAGTCAGTGGAGTGTGCGACTCTTGATCCTGGGGTTGTGAGTTTGAGCCCCATGTTCGATGTAGAGAGTACTTCAAAATAAAGTTTAAAAAAAACAAACAACTAAGTCTTCGATTCACTCCACCTTGAGGTTCTGTCCATCAAAAGGCAGGGATCCACTGACCAGTGTATACAGGATAACTCCCAGGCTCCATACATCCACCTCGGGTCCATCGTATTTTTTGCCCTGGAAGAGCTCTGGGGCAGCATAGGGGGGACTGCCACAGAAGGTATCCAGCTTGTTCCCAAAGGTGAATTCGTTGCTGAAGCCAAAGTCTGCAATCTTAATGTTCATATCAGCATCCAAGAGCAGGTTTTCTGCCTGGGAGGTAAGATGGAAAATGTCAGGACCAAGCGGACCACAGTAAGCCACTGAACAGGAAGGAGCTGGGTGGGCTGGGAGCACAAACAGGAAGCCATCCTCAGTCTCAGGACTTTCTCCACCAACTCCAGGGCAGGCCTTCAGTCAGTGTGAAGCGGCTGGGCTGGAGAAGGGCAGCGCAGGCTCCCTTACACAGGCAGCCGCAGGCGGGGGGCGGGGAGGGGGGTCCTGGGGGCTCTGCCACGTCAGGCTCGGGTTAATCGCGGTCATGTCTGCCAGGACTCAGGGGCCAGGAACCTCCGAGGTAGTCCACACTCTAACATCTCAGGGAAAGAGCTGAGCGAGCGCGCACCCACAAAGCAGCTGTGGGTCAGTCAACATTCTGCCCTCGGTCAGCAGCCAGGCTGCCTGAAGGTGCAGAACCTGCAATGCTCCCGCCACGCCTGGGAGCCCTGGAAGATGATGTGCCCAGCAACGAGACCCTCTGTTCGCTGGCTGGAATGAGATCTAAGTCCAGTCGAGAGGCCTGTGTCAGAAGCAGCCCTAGGGGCTTCCTCATCGTCTCCAAAAAATTAAAAGCTGGAGTTTCCTTGAACACTCAGGGCCTGATGGTTATGTCATTGGTGACAGAGGGTGAACAACCCAGCCCGACTCAGACACAGGGCACAAGATTGTACCTTACCTTTAAGTCTCTATGAACAATAAACTTCTGGTGGCAGTACTGCACAGCAGACACTATCTGAAAGGAAGGAAGAAGGGTTAGCCCAGTGGCATCTGAGGGTGGGCCATGGGGCTCACGGACCTGTGATCCCGTGACCTAGTTCTAAGCTGCCACAGCGACAGGCAAAGCCCAAAGGACCCTCCACAGGCCTAAGTAAGAGAGGCAGCTCCTTCTTATATGCCAAATCCCAAGAGGCAGAGGTCGGGCCCATACTCTGCAAAGGGAGCCACACCCACCTGGCGGAATTTGGCTCGAGCCTCTTTTTCTTTCATCCTGCCATGAGCCACCAGGTAGTCAAACACCTCTCCTGCAAGACACAGGGGTGGGGTCTAGGTTGGAGCTTACTGGGGCTGGGAAACGGGAGGGCACACAGGAAGAGGCAGTCCCACACCTACCTCCACTGGCGTACTCCATGACAAGGTACAGAGTTTTCTCAGTCTCGATCACTTCAAATAACTTAACTACAAAAGAAAAGGCCAAGTCACCAGTCAGAGAAGTAGTAGGGGCCACACTCTGAGGCCCAACCTGAGCAGAGGCATCCTTGGGACAAAAGCCCCCTCCCCTCCTCCACGAGGGCAAGTTCCTCTCATGACAGCCACACTACTCAGGACAGCCCAGTGTGCCAGAGGCAGAGGTGGATTTTGAGCTGGGCTTCCCCAGAGGCATCCTCAAGGACTCCAGACTCTAGCAAACAGCATGCCTCGGGGAGGAATATAGGCTGGGAAGTGGAGCCGTGCTGTGGGGGAAGACGGAAGGAACGACATCTGGTTCTCACCTATGTTGGGATGATTCAAAACCTTCATTATTCTTACTTCGCGGAATAGCTAGAAAAGAAAATACCAAGGGTCATGCTTGCTTAACTTGCTCCCCTCAGGTCCCCTCCAAACAGAGCCACTGCTAGGATTCTTCTCCCCAAAGAGAAAATAGGCAAAGAAATAGGGCAGCTGTCCAGGTCACTCAGACCTGTCACTGATGGCTGAGAAGTGGGTGAGGGGGAATGAGAGCAGAAGTGTCAGCGGGAGGAAAGCTGGGTTCCAGCGACTTGTACCCTTGGGTTCAGCATCTGGATAGACCAGCCACGTGCCCTCTGTTGCAGTGTCCCCAAATCCAACCCCCAAACAGCAGACGGGTTTGGCTGGGTGCCTCTGAAGGAGGGAATGTGAGCCCATGTACATGAATATTCAGAACCAGGGCCGCTGCTAAAGTTCAGTGACAAAACAGACTCCAGCTTGGGGGTGGGGGGGGGTGGTGTGTGTGTGTGTGTGTGTGTGTGTGTGCACGCGCGCGCTCGCGCTGGTGGTGGTGGGGACTCTGAAGGGGGCCCCCAACATCTTCTGGTTTACAGAAGTCAGAGGGCTCTGCACTAGTGGGCAGGCCCTTCTCTCCTGGGCCTCTGGGGCGGTGACAGAAGAAGCTGCTCCTATATATAGCTGATGCCAATTTTAATCAAACCCACCTCCACACACTCACGCTCTCTTTGTGAAACAAAATCAGGGACTCCAAACCATGTATTTGCATAAAGAAAGATGACAGAAACGAACTCTGTCCCCTCTGCGGGGGCCAGAGAACTGGAGGTGGGGTTTTGGTAACTTCCAGGCCTCACCATTTGCACAAAGAGCAGAACTAGTTGTTTATATTATGTTTGGGGTTTTTTTTTGGCAGGGGGAGGAGAGGTCTGAAGACCTAATTCAGGATAGAGTTTATGGAATCAAGTGAGCACAGTATTTTCCCCTTAATGAGATCCGAGAGCTTCTGTGAGCTGGATAGGGAAAGAAGAGACAGGCTTTCCAATCTTCGGGAATCTGATTCTGAACTTGGCTCCTTTTTCTTGTTAGAGCCCAGGTTTCTCTTGCCTTCTTCTTCCCCGGTCCAGCAGTTGTCTTGGATGAAGAGGCAAAAAATCCTGGACACCACCTCAGGGGTGGTAAGCAACTGGGAAGTAACACTGAAATGGGGCCGGAGGCAGTGGCCAGGGTCCCCCGCCCCCCACCCCACACACATTCCCCCCGGACACCCGCTGGCCTGGAAGGGGCATTCTCCTGGGAGAACAGTGGAGTTTTCTGGGCTCAGCTGAGAACCCTGAGGGGGATAGATTCTTCACTATTGTCCTTTTTTACGGATCACTGCTGGGATCAAATTTAACTAGAGCGATTTGGCCAGAATCAGATTGGCCTTGGTAACAGTGTGTGTTAAAAGGCTTTTAAAATGACTACATTTGTCGGGCACTGGTGCCTTCCAGCCGGCTGGTCAGGAAGAGGCAAAGAGAAAAAAGAGGTGGGAAATAAGACGGCCTGGCTGACTGTGGCAATTACCATATGGTAGGCTGGACTGCACCAAAGACCAAATGGCCCACACCAAGCTGGCTTCCACCCCGTAGGGTCTGAGCCAACATATCAAGAGTAGCCCTCTTTCCCTTCCTTCCGGAAAGCTCTAAGCAGGAAAGCCCTGGTGATGACAGTAGTGTTTCCTTTGAACCAAAGAACCTTGAGGGGATCCCAGGGCTAACAAAAAATAGGAAACACCTTGGTTTTGGCTGCCAGTGTGTCAAGGCACCTCAACCTCCACACTGCTAGTCCGTGAGTGCCTCTCTCAATACCAGCCCCCAAACCTCATCCCAAGCTTCCCAATCCCGCTGTAGTTGACTATCAGCATGAGGTCATGCCCTCTCCTGACTCAAATAACACAATGTGCTCATGGAAAAAAAAAAAAATTCAGTCTACCTCACGATAGAAAGAACTAGGTGAATCAAGGTTAGAAAATCTGAACCAGGGTCAGGGGAGTATGAGGGCACAAGGAAATCTGACTGACCTAAACAGGGGCAGCTTTTTGGGAGCCCGATGGGAGATTTCCTCCTTCCCCTAACTGCCAGAGCCCAGGATGAGGAGAGAGGGCAGAGAGTTTCCAGTTCAACATCAACCCGTCCCTGGCAAGCTGTCCCATTATGCAAATCGAAGCCTCCTTTTCATGTCCCCACCGGCTCCTCATAGTTTCCCAACCAGGGGGCATGTGTTCCCACCCGACGAGCCAGCTCAGACAGACCCCGGTTTCCCACTCTAAGTCAAGGAGGGAAGGAAAAGTTCAACTTCACCTAGCGAACAGTACATGCAAATGACTTGGCTTTTAGCCAAGAGGAGCCTAGAAGTGAGAAAGCAAATTGGGAGTACCTGTCCTTAATCTGCACAAACTGGCACGGCCTTGAGACTGTGGAGTTTAGCTTCTAAAAACCGCAGTCTTCCATCCCCACATCCCCTAACACTGTAGCTGGCACAAATGCGGTGGCAGGCCTCCCTGCCTCCTCCTATCCCTGTACGTCTAGAGCCACGCCTTTGGATCATTCCAGATCTTGGAGTCACCAAACGCATGTTTCTAGTAATGGCTACGAACGTGTGTTTTTGCATAGGGCTGGCCACGGGCCAGAAGATAACAAGATGCAGGAAGTAGGTCAGATAGATAGGCCAAATGGTGGGGAAGGGCAGAAAGACTTTGAAAGAGCCAGTGCCTGTGGCCAGGAAGCCCACCCAGGAGGGGTCAACGTGGTGGATACGATCAGAGCCCCATAGGGAGCAGAGCCATGGAGCAGTGGAGACAGTGAAATGACCGGAGATTTTTAAGTGAAGGATTCAAGGGGAGGCCCACCTGGGGTCAGTAGATCACTGACCCCTGAAGAGAGGTTTAGAAAGGAACAGAAGGTGCTGTGTGCTTACCTTCTGGAGGCTGGAGGAGTTCAGTTGAGTCTTGTCAATGATCTTCACAGCTACCTGCACAGGAGACAAGAAACCCCTGATTCCCTCTCTGAGCAGGCTGAACCCAGGACTCAACTCTCCCTCCTCCTCTGTATCTCCACCTCCTCTGCCTCCTCCCTCTCCACACTTCCATTCCACCCGATGGCGTTTCCACCCGACAACAAGAGGGTGGCCGCGGCAGTTGTCCCACCGCGCCCAGCCCCCAGAGCTCACCTCTTTCCCGGTCAGGATGTGCCGGGCCAGCTTCACCTTGGCGAAGTTACCCTTGCCAATGGTCTTAAGGAGTCGGTAGTTGCCAATGTGGGGCTGCTCGTCAGCAGAGGCGGCTGAGTTGCGGCCCCGCAGCATGTTGGACTTACTGCTGGGCTTGGGGTCGAGGTGTCCCAGGGTGGGCTGCAGGGTGGAGACAGGCACACCTTTCCGGACGCCGCCCTCTCAGATCCCCGTTCCCTTGCCCTTAGCTCTCCACAAAAAACCCAAGAAGCTGGGGGAGTAGGGGTGGACTGCAGGGGGCTGGCCGGCAGGCAGAGGATCGGAAGGCGGGGGGGAGGAGAGCAGAAACGAGCCAGTCTTCACCCCAAGAGAGCAGAGCGTACAGTCCAGTCCAGCGCGCTGTGGGTGTGGGAGCTCGGGACCTGTGCTGTCCCACCCGCCGCTTGCAGCAATAACCCAGCAGCCCCTCGGCCTCCTGTGGGCGAGCGCCTCCTGCTGGCCTCCCTGCAGCCTGTTCATGCCAGGACAAGGAGGCGAGGCAAAGTCCCAGGAGCCCAACAGTCAGGATTCTACACTTGATCTTAGCCAAAAGGCCGAGAAGCGATTCCAACAGTCAGGATTACTTCAAAGCACTCATCACCACCCAACACATCACCTTTACTTTTATTATCTATCACTTTACATTCATTTGTTGTCGATCCCGATGAGAACGGAAGCTCATGAAGGCAGGCATACGTCATTTATTCACTGACACATCCCAGCACCTACACGATTGGAGTTAGGAGAGATGCTCAATGAACTTGTGCCGTGAACAAACTGAACAACAGGGTCTGAGCAAGGTGACCGTCTGCCCTCAGATAGCCTGTCGCTCGAACAAGGGTGTGACAAAGCAGCAGTGATGGCAACAGCACTGAACAGCTACAGACACAGAACACAAAAACCGTACGACCCAGACGAAAACACAGGTTTACATGAAGACGTGCATGCTCCTCAGACGACTACACGGAGTTGCTAGTGAGCCGGTGGCTCTGCTCCTCGGTGCACACCTCAGAGGAATGGAACGGACATCCCACCGATGTGCGTTCGTAACATCCCACGCTCACAAAAGCCCCAGAGTAGAAACCACGCACATGTCCATTAATTGAGAAATGGAGAAACACACTATGGAAAAGGCACACAACGGACTCTTCGTCGGCAATAAAAAGCAGCGACACCTGCTACGACATGGAAGAATCTTGAAAACAGGACGCTAAATGAACAAAGCTGGTCACAAAGGACCACACGTTGTATGATTCCATTTACTTGAAATGTTCAGACTAGGCAAATCCACAGAGACGGATTAGTCTAGGACTGAGGAGGGTGGGGATTTAGGGGTGACAACTAAGGGGTGTGGGGTTTCTTTCTGTGCTAATGAATGTGTCCCAATGAACTGTTGATTGTGGTGATGGCTACATCACTCTGTGAATTTACTCAAAGCCACTTAATCCTACACTTTAAACGGGTGAATTGTGTGGCATATGAATTACATTTGAATAAAAGTGTTAAGAGTCTGGCCTAAGTCTCATTTGGAGCCCTGATTTACCTCTCAAAGGGAAATGATGCCTGATGCCATATGGGACAAAGTGCTGCCAGAGCCTCATCCCAGAACCATCCAGAGCTACCTTGGAAACTTCAAGGACATAATATGGAGGAGAGCAAGGTGACCAGAAGTGTGAGTCCAAGTTCTTCCTCTCACGGCCCCTTCGGGCTGGGCTGTCGTGAAGCCCTCCACAACCACAGGGAAAAGAAAGGACTTGCCATGCCACCCAAGGAACTGTCCAGGGTTCCTTGCAAGAAGCTTGCTTCCCTCATCAGATGCTTTCCAGGCAGAAAAACAAGAACACAAAGCAAATAGCCTGCTACTGACGTTTCCCCCTTCTTACTTGTGTCAAAGGAGGGCCTTTCTTTCTCTCTGCATAGTAGCTGCTGGCTGGTTGGGGTAAGTGGTCTGACTCAGATCCCAAAAGCTCACGGACTTAGGCGTTTGAGGAAAAAAAAAAAGATCCCATGCATATGGTCGATTTTGAAGGCAGAGCTTCCTGACATCTCAGCGGAGTCCCTTTTAACCTCTTTCGCTCTTTAGGGAATGTTCTCTCTCTCCTGCGAGTCCTCACCACCCCTCCCAAGTCCACCAAGTCCCCAGGGCCTCTGCTGTCTGCCCACTGCAGCCCACGAAGCTCTCTTGCCCTCTGTGCTTCAGACACCCTGTTGCTCACTTACCTCTGGCTGGTCCTCAGTGTTTGCTAGATCAGTAGATTTTCAAACACCTGCTTTTTACCCTTCCAAAGCAACCCTAGGATTCACACCCCTTGGAGAGAAGGGCATTCCTAGGCCCTGCGGGTACCTGCCTTGGCCTCAGTCTACCAAAGGGTACCCTGAGCCCCCTCCATCAGGGTCCTGAAGGCCAGGCCTCCATGACCTACCTCTTCTCAGCCCCATCCTCCCAGCAAGTGCTGCTAGACTGCCTACCGCCCTACCTGGTCTGCCTCAGGGGCCATGAACAGGGAAAATCTTCCCTCTGCCCCAGCTCTCACGAGAGGAAGATGGGTGGCAAAGTGTCCTTGGCAACCTCCAATTCACCCCCTAAGTTTCTTGTCACTCCCCTCTTTTCTGAGGATACGAACCAAAGGCAGCAAGAGCTTGGCAGTCTCCAAGCCCTCAAAACTGTTAATAGGAATTTACTGTTGACTTGAAGATTTGGGCCCTCTGCCCCTCTGAAGCCAAATCTGGGAATCCTACTGTCCTTCCCGACCTCTGCTCTGCGCCTCCCTCTTGGTGCTTCTGGCCCTCAGGGCTGGTCTGTGTGGCCCAGCAGGACAGCATTGCCCGCAAGGCTCAGCGGACCTCAAGCACATCAATAACCACAAGAGGGGCTCTGCCATCCACCTCCCTCCTTACAGGGGTACAGAGGTGTGGTTAAGAGTGCAAATGCCAGGGACAAACTGCTAGTGTCCAAAACCTAAGTCTGCCAATGACTCAACACATGCTAACTCTATTATTATCAACACCATCCTTAAGAGGGAGATGAGATTATTACAAAGGGGGAAGGAAACCATCCAAGAGAGGACCAGTGCAGCGTGACCCCACGCACCTGTGTCAGGAGATGGTCTAGTGGGTGCCAGGGAGCTCTGTCTAGCAGAACCAGGTTCGAGTCCTGACTCCCCCACTTATTAGCATTAGTTTCCTCATCTGTAAAGTGGTGATAAAATATTGCCTACTTCACGTTAGGTGAGAGAACACATGTAAAATGCTTTATCCAGTGCTCAATGAAGAGCAACCACTATTATTTTTAGTTCCCAAATACTGCTGTCTGCAAAGTCAAAGGTCCCTTTGTCAACAAGACTTCCACCTCTGAGTGGAGCCCTCCTAAGCCGGCGGTCGCCCAGTGGGGGCCAAGGCCATAAGAGATGTTCTGGCCCTCCCCACTGGAGAGGGGTCCAGGCTGAGCTGTGGACGCCCTCCCCTCTGGCCCATGTTGCTAGCCTGCACCAGCACTTCTAGCCTCCACAGGAGGTGACCAAACAGGGCAGCTGTGAAGGGTTGGTCCCAAGCCAGGCACCCGGAACAGAAAGAGAGAAGGTTCAACTTGTCCAGGACCCAGAGAAGCAGGGAACACTGGCCTGTGATCCTTGATCCTCCGGCTCCCCTTTCAGGACTGAAATCACCCAAATGTCAGGACTCAAAGACCAAAGACTGTAGCCTTTCTCTCCCTCCTTTTCACCTCTCCTCTGAGACATTTCCCACAGCAGGCATGTGGGCCAAGGCGAGGAGAGCCCAGGGAAGCAAACAGAAAGGGAGTGAAGGAAGGAAAAAGTCTCCAGCAGAGAATGTTTCTTGGACCACGGCCCCACAGGAGATGGCTGCCCTGAAGGCTGAAGTGGAGGTAAGGGTTCAGAGACCGTCTCTTCTGTGGTCCTCACTAGGCCCACTCAGCCTGGATCCAGATCTCACCACCAGGTTGGGGGCTGAGGACTGGCTACCCTTCTGGGCCAACGAAACAGGCTCTGGCTAAAGCCACGCTCTTCCCTTCACCTCTGTCCTCCCTGTTCATAGTAAGAGGAACACCAGACATTCCCAAAGCCCTGGCCCACAGCACACCACAGTCAGACCCTACAAATCTGAGGAAGTCTGCTGCAAGTTGCCAGCACGAGTCTCAGGTAGCCTTCAGAAAGAACGGGGTCACCCTGCGAGGCCATATTTGGAACCGATGGCAGACCACACAGGTGACTTAGCAGGCCTGACTCGGAAGCGGGATGTGACCAGCTTTGGAGGCTCAACAAGAGAGGTGGAATATAGGACCCGGGGAGAAAAGCAAGAGGCTTCGGTCGAGCAGGCCCTTCAACCTGGGATCTCCAAACTCAGCCTTAGGCGTGTTGCCAGGTTCGCCCGGAAGACAGCCTCCACCCCTGAGGCCCAGCGCTGACTCAGGTAGGCAGGGCCCCTTCCCTAACGCTGGGGGCACCTACCAACAGTTCTCCCCTAGAAGAGCCCGTGCTGCGGGGCTCTGCATTCAGGCCTGGCCTCAAGTGTCCCGAGACTTCCCCAGGGCTGGGAGGGGTGATAGGCAGGTACTCCCCGGCCAGAGGCAAAGTAAGCCTGGGCACCGTGGGAAGAAAAGGGTCCCTTGGGCAGCGGCCCAGTGCGCCCGCCCCAGATCCCAGTCTCCCCTCGCTGGAACACCTGAGCACCGCCCCCCCTCAGGGCCTCCACCTGTCACCTGCCCCCTCCTCTGACTCAACCTCTGGGACTCTTCTTCCCGCATTTGCCCCCCTTCCTTTCCCAGCCAGTGCCTCTTTCCATGAATTTTACTACCTGTGCTAGCACCTGGCTCCATTCAGCAGTTCTTTAAAGATCCTATGTTTGGGGTGGGAGGGGAGGGAAGGGGGCAATCCCACAGCAGAAAAGGGGAAAACATACCCGGCTGGAGAAAGGGACAAGGACTACCAGCAACTTCCATTCAGCAGAGCCCACAGCAGAACCTGTCAGGCAGCGAGGGCAAAGTACAGAGGCCGGGAAGAGCCAGGCCCAGGGCGGGGGCTGCCGGCTCTGCCAGCCACCCTTACTCAGCCGAAGCAGGCGACACCTTCCACCACCTCCTCAGCGAAAAACAGTGAGGCAGCCAGGCCCGAGCGGCTCCTGCC